ACTACCACATTACTGATAGAAATAAAGAGACGTTATGATTCGAAAAGTAATAGTCTTTTTTTCTTTATTTGAAGCAGAAAAGTAATCATCTTGGAGTTGGGATGGGTCAGGTAACTTTTTTAATTTTCCCAAAGAACCTTTTTGTCGAAAGTAGATTTAAAAAAACTTTAGAAGCTTTATTTATCATGGCCTCGTACGTTATTAGTCATTTTTGATAGATCATTTTTTTCTTTTTTTTTTTTGTCTTTGCCTAAAGTCAAATTCGTGTTGTGCTTTTGCACCTAACTTTCTTCCTCCCATTTTTGAATGTCACGTTTTCACTGTAAACCAAAACAACAATTTTCATAGCCTTTATCTAGCAAACTTTCAGAACAAAAGGTTCAAACGATTTTCACAGCCATCTTGCTGCATTGATGTTCTTTTAAAATTCCATGATGTTGTTCTAAACATTACTCTGAAAAGCCACTCTCTAAAATTGAAAAAGGTATGATAATGACAAAAATGTATAAATTCTATTCATTTAACTTTTGTTTTTCATTGCCCCGATATGCATTTCGATTCTGCAACAGAAGAAAATCACATAAACAAAAATCAAATCATCTGCAGCCCACGAGAAGTAGAGCAGATAGGACAAATTAAAAATGCTTTAGATTCCATTAACAGTTGGATTAAGTACATGTAGAATGTTGTAATCTTGGATGTGTATGATTTTATCACCAGAAACAACAATAGAATAAAACCCTAGGAATGTGGTGCAAATTCGACCTTAACCAGAACCATGTGGTTTTATTCTTTAGTCTTTACAACTTCATATAAATTTAAGCTGTAGATTCTTAGGCCTATGTTTTAGATTACAGAAACATATGCTACTACACTTTCTTACTTATCTTATTAAAACAGAAACATAATGCTTGGTGATTAATAAACACTAGGGGGTTTGTATGGATAGTTATTTATTTACACAAATTTATTTGTTTATATTATAAACACATTTTTCAATTTTTTTTTATCTCATATATATCATATCAAAAAAGTGTTACGTTGTAGCAATATTTGTCATTTAGTACTAAGAAAAATTAGATGCAGGTACAAGATTATGAACTTTATACTTCAAATGTGTGCTAAAGATTTTAGAACAGATTTAAAACATCACTATTATAAGAACCCTTTTGCAGATTAAGGTAATTTTTAATTTCCAAATACTTCAAGATGATTTTGTTTGTTTAATTTATCTTGAAGACTTTTCAAGTCTCCAAGAACAACTGGAACATTGGTTGTCATGCAACGAGGATTGTTTTGTCTTGTTGGAGTTGGTAACAAATGCCAAGAAGATACCTAACCACAAGCACTGCGTCATGCATATACTGCCGATCACAAGAGTCTGTCAGAGTAATGTTGAATCCCAAAGATGCCCTCCTTTTTTCCCAATGTATAATATAGTACATGTGTTCTTGGCATTTAGCAATGCCACCATATCATTTCTCGTAATTGCAAATTCTCCTTTTGATTTTGCCGGTGTGCATGGAAAAGAGATTCACAAAGAAAAACAGATTTTTGTTTAAAAGAATGAAGGAAATGGCTTCGTTTGGATTAGCTATTTTTGGAGATATTTTTAAAATATTTTACTATAGTAGTGTAGGTGAAAAACTTTTAATGTAGATGAGATTGTTCTTAGTGTTTTTTGTGTTTTTTAGGTTATTTTTGTTTGTGTATTACTGTAACATTGTACATGAAAAACTTATTTTTTAAAAAATGATCAATCCAAACAGAAATGAGTAGAGTTAGGGGTTGGTTTATAGTTGATTATGTGATAGTATTTATTTGATTGACTTCGAGTATAAGTTAATAATTTCACGTAAAAAATTTCATTCTATTTGAAATGGATCAAATAGAATTCACTTGGGATGAAGCTATTTAAGTTGACAAATTCCCGGCTGCATTTGAATTGAGGATTCGATGAACAATTTGAAATATTTTCAAATCTCTCTAAGTTTTTTGGATTAAAAAGGAGATTTTTTTTAACTTTGTAATTCACAAATTATTTAATATATATTTAAACACTAATATAATTAGTAAATCACAATTAAAATTTCCCTAAATCATCAATAAAAGTTAAAAGAATCTGAAAGGATTACAAATTTTTCGTTGAAACTCTTAATCTACTTGCATCCTTAATCTTTATTCTATTGAAAAAAAATTTATTAGAATGAAGTTGTTTAGTTAGTTTTAGTCTTTCAGAACCAGTAATCAAAGTCCAAATAATTGATCTCACATAACTTAACCAAGAAATTATTATTGAACTATTAGAAACCTCAAGACCTCTTTAAACAAACAAAATTTAATTTCAGAAGCAAATTGCATTACTTGATTTTATCTTTAGACAACAACTTTTCAAATAAATACCAAACTTGCTTCTTGATTGTAGAGGGGGTTTTGATCTACAGATTAAAATTAACAGTCTAGAAATTAGATATTTTGGGCTCAAATTCTCATATTTCATTCTTGCTTCTAAAATTCTATCCCTACTTTGCAAAAAAAATTAAAAAATTGCTTTCTAATTTCAATGTAGAACAAAGAAAATACACATGTAATATAATACCCAACCAAATTAGCTGAATTCTAAACTTCGCTTAGATGGGTACTCAAGAAAACTACACATTGGTATAAACACTTTCAAGAGCACAAAAATTTTCCATGCATCCAGCACTTGAGAATTTCCCTGTGATAATGGAAGTTTCCATCAAGGGCCATGCTCCCACTTTCTTATTAGATTACAAAAATGTGTCACTTAGTTCAGTTCATTACAGCAATCATCATTGGCCTTTTTCTCGAAAGCTTTGACCACTTACTCATGGATACCCAATTATGTCGCTGAAGAGCCTTCATTTTGTCTATTGCTCTTCATCAATCTCCAAACTAAAAAATTTCCTAAAAAATCATACTTTATTTTTATTCAGGATTTGGTTAACTGGTGTCCCAGGACTAGTTTTATAGTAAAACTAAAATTAATTTCGGAGAATGCATTAGATGTAAGTGTGTGCATACACATAATAAGTTAACTGTAATTTAGGTGTAGTAATGGACGTTTGCTGCGACATGCATTATAAAAATCCATTCCTTTATTCCTCGAACAATTATCATAGACACTAAAATTATCAAAAACAACTTAATAACTTAATGAAAAAAGACACCAAAAGGAAAGAAAGACTGAAATCTCCATGTTGGGATATATTGTATTCTTACCTTATTAAATAAAACCAACAGACACTGAGTTTGTTTGGACAAGCCAAATTTGGTTTGTTTAATTTGTTTTCACAAATCCCAATCACTTTAATCTCACTTCAACTAAGGCCACCAAGAAATAAAAGAAAACAAAAGAATAGAGAGCCTTTCCCTTTCACGACCTCCAGAATGGAGCAGGAATGAGAAGGAAGGAGACATCAGAAGCAGCCAAATTCTCAGACAGCCTTTCCCTTTCACTCTTTCGTCTTTTGTCGGCGTGGTACTCCCAACTCTCCTATAATCCTTTCTCTTCGGGCCCCTCACCAACCTTTTCCTTTTCCTTTTTCCTGTCTAGTCACAGAACCCAGCTGCTCCAGTACTCCAACCCTTAACCTTGTCCAACTCTTTAACTGTAGCTTCGTTTGGAAGTTGGGGTTTTGGACAGAAAAGAAAGGGAAGGAAGTGGTTTTCCTTCGTTTGTAGTTTGTAGTAAGAAAGAAAAAAAAGAAAATGGGAGGATTTAGAGGAATGAAATGTAATACTTCGGTAACCAAAACTTTTCCTCCCAAATTGAATGGAAATGGAAGGAAACTTTAAGGAAGCTTGTCAAATTGTTTTAAAATACCTATTTTATCCTTAAAAAGATCTTCAACAAATATTTAATGACTTCTATATTCAAAATCATTCAATTAATTTTTAAAACTCTCAACAACATAACAGTGTCTTCCCTTTTCTTCTCTTCTAACTTGAGTTTTCCTTTTTTTTCATTTCTATCCTAAACTCCCAAACTAAGCCCTAGTATTAAGGAACTTTAGACGGAAACATTTTCGGAATCATTTGGTTAAATATGTTTTTAATTATTTTTATTCTAAATTAATCATACAATAAAAAATGGTACAATATAAATTTTAAAATCTTTATTAAATATATTTCTATATCATCTTTTTATTTAATATATATCGCATTACAAAACGCATGACAAGAATTTTTTTTTTAACAACCACAATCCAAACAGAAATATAACGAAATTCCAAGTAATCTAATATTGAAAAAAGTCAACTCCTATGAAAATTTTATTTGCTTTTGTTTTAAATTAAGAGGCATGAATAATTCGATTGGCAACTTTTGGGTATATTGACCAATCCATAAGACTTCTACCCTTAACTAATTTAGCTTATACTATACATGCGACTTGAAGAAGTTATTTTTAATGATAATATATTTTCTTTTTAAGCAATGAGAATAATAAAGAAATTCTCACTTCCCAAAAAAAATGACAGTAAAATCTTATAGACCTCATACTTTTAAACCATTTATTCCTTGACTAATCACTACTTAATCAATATAGGTTGATTTGGATAGAGTATTATTTGAAATATTATTTTGAATACTTATTATAGAGTATTTTTTGTGATGTGATGTATGTGAGATAAAAAGATAAGTTAAAAAATATGTTTATGATACAAGTGAAATATTATTAGAGATAATTTGCCATCCAAACAAACCCAGTGATGTCACATCATATACTAGTATTTCTACTCCGAGTTACTTAACTAAGAAAACTCGCTGAAACTATTGCACTAGAAGCAATTTACACTTTTTTAACTGAGACTTAATACAGTAAGACATCCAGTTCACACAACTAACAATACACACACATTATTCAAAAAGGAATGGGGTGGATACTGTTGGATTTGATGTAATTGGTATGATTATTATATTCTTTTTAAAAAACTCAACGTACGTTCATAAACATGATAATGTATTTATATATTGAATTAGTAAAATATGTGCATATAATTAATACACGTAATTCATGTAAAATATGCAACAAGGGCGCAATCCCATCCAAAACCTCAACTTTGCCTGTCCTAAATCCATTTTTATATGGTACACAGCTTGAGAGCTTTGATGGAAATGTACATGTTACATGCATAAGCCAATCTTTTTTTTTTTTTGAAGGAGCATACTGCATAAGCCAATCTTTTCTTCTTTTTTACATAATAAATCTCTTTATATATGAAAAAAAAAACAGGATCTGCTTGTATGATGAAATAATTTGCGTGAACCTTTAGCTCCTTCAACCTGTGAATATTAGACAGAGCCCTCCTCAACCCCTAGCCACATTTCTTTATAGTACTCAACAAACCACAAAGAAAAACAAAGCGACAAAACAAACCTGCTTTTAGCCCTCTCCTTTCATTTCCCTCTTCTCGTTCAACTAGTAAAACCTTCTTAGCTCTCAGCACCCCTTTTAGCTTTCTCCTCAACCCCTTCACTTTTGCCCAAAACCAAAAAGCATTAGAAGCAAGGAAAAAAAATTCCATCTCACTTGCATTATTACTAGTATTATGAAGGTCCAGTGCACAAAGAAACGTCGACGTTTTACCTTTTCGTTATCTTTCTTGGTTATCTTCCCTCTACTATTTTCCACCTTTGATGTTTGTTCTGCTGGCTTGCTCTCCCAGCCGGCTCAGCCATTAAAGCCGGGAGACTATTCATCTTCGAACACAGTCCCCGCATTTCCCGTTCAAACGCAGGCCCAAACTTGCCGGCTTGACCTCTCAGACGAGCTTTTCGGCGGAGTCAGTTCAGCATGTGGGCGTGACCTAGACAGAAGCCGATGCTGCCCAGTACTGGCAGCGTGGCTGTTCGCTGCTCATGCTCGCTCGGCTTTGCAGGTCAGCTCAGCTGCTCCTCCGACCAGCTCCGACCTGCCCATGATGCCGGACGACTCGCAGAAGTGTGTGAACTCGCTGCAGAGCTCCTTGCTCAGCCGCAACATCCATATTCCTCAGCCTAATGGCTCTTGCGACCCCGTTTTGTGCTTTTGTGGGATTCGCCTTCATCAGATCACTTCCTTGAGTTGTCCAGCCGCGTTTAATCTGACGGGCTCCCGGAATGCGACGCCGACGGCCGCGGTCAAGAATTTGGAGAAGAATTGTCACAACTCTTCTTATGCTGGTTGTACCAAGTGTCTTGGTGCGCTCCAAAAGGTTAGTTTCGTAATTTCACTCGCTAATCGTTCATTTTGTTCTTATCCTATCTTATTGTATTGAAAAAGAGTCTTTGGCCATTATTATTATTTATTAGTTCTCTCATTAGAGTATAATGGTGAGACAATTGTCCTATATTGTACTTTCACTTATAATAATTGTTTCTTATTCTTCCTTTGGTCTCCTTTTGAAGTTAATGATATAATGGCTGCATAATCATCATTACTTTGACTACTCATTTCATATTTGGGGAAAAAACAAAAGAAAAATTGCTTTCCATCCCTAAAAATTTACTCAATTTCAAGGACTTAACGTTCCGTTTGAATTAGAGTAGAGTTTTTGAGATATTTAAGAATAGTAGAGTTTTTAGAATATATTTTGAAATATTTTTTAAATATTAAAAAAAATTTAGACAACTTTTTAGATTATTTTTTAGAAATTAGTATTTGAAAATTTAATTTTTGGAAAACTGATGGATCCAAACAGATATATTTTGTCTATAATGCGCTCATCTATTTTTAGTGAGAGCATTTTCCACATTCTTCTTTTTTCATCATTATTTGATTAAATCATTTTCAATCAATTGTCATTTTTTTGATGCTAAATAAACACATATTTTTCTCTCCCTTAGGGGAGGGAGAAAGATATAATCCCTATTCAAGCATCACTTTTGACTTCCAAAAATTTATTCAAAGCATCTATCGATTTATTATTGTTATTATTGTTTGAAGCATATCTATCCATTGATTTTAATCTTTGTTACTTTAAGCTTGTTATTTGACAATGCTTCAAAACCAAAAAACAAAACAAAAAGCTTGTTATTTGACAAGCTTTATAAACGAAATCTCTAAATGGCCCTTGAATATATTGCTTATTTGTAGTTAAACGGTGAGGTTAAAAACGGAACTCAAAAGATGGACGTGGAAGACGGGGACCGAGCAAGCAAAATGTTAAGCAGGGATTGCCAGCTCATGGGGCTGACGTGGCTACTAGCTCGAAACAAAACGGCATACATACCCACCGTTTCGGCAGTATTGCGGGCAGTTATGTACAGTGCTCATCCTCCTCATGATGCTAAATGCAGCCCCGACCAAGAAAACATGCCCTTAGCCGTCGATTCGCTGCAGTTTGAGCAATCAGAGGCCTCATCTTCGCCGTCCATTTCCACTACTTCTTGGTCAATCAATATTCTTCTGTTTCCGATTTTACCCTTAATCATTATTGGATCTCTATTCGTGTGAAAAAACAGGAACTTTTTGGAAAGGGCCGAAAAAAAACCGGCTGCGTTTGTTTTTTAGCCTGTGACGGGTTGTCGGGTGGATTCATCATTCACGTGAAGCTAGTTGACAAATTGTGTGGGATGGAGGGGGCATTCTTGTCTTTTTGTACCACTGTAAATTTTTTAGGTCACTTTCACAGATTTGTACTTTTTGACATGCAGTACGAGGACAAGATCTTACTTTTACTGCGGAGAGTGACCTTACATTTAGTCTAGGTTTTGATGTTTATTAGGTCATTTTATGGTAGCTTTTTTAATTTATTGAATTACTCCTATTTACAATTTTATATTTTTCTTGATTATTTTGGACACATTTTACTGGGTAGAAAGAAGTTGTAATTTTGATGCTTTTATTATTGCTGAACTACCTCCCTTTTTTTGTCCTTTTAAAGGTCAAACTACCGATATATATTGTCAAAATAATTTTGAAAATGCAGTTATTCATAATATCCCTAATTTGACCAAGATAAAGAGCATAAGATGTCGAAGTATAATGGCAACCATTTCAAGAATTTTACACTAAGATGAGGCCGCCTCGTGAGTCTGCAAAATCAAATTGTAATTGTATATTGGAACGGCGATTAGTAATAATTCTTTCTTAATCTGGTAAGTAGTAAAATGAACAAACCCTATTTTTTTAACAAGATTACAACTAATTTACTAACAAGAATATAGCTCAATAATATTACAATTAAATCTAGAAATGGTGGGTAGGACGCACACTAGCATATAGTCAGATGAAACTCACGCATATAGTAAAACTTGAATTCAACATATCTAATTCTTGAGAATTCAACCTTAATTGTTTTATCACTAAATCGAGAAGGTAAATACCGAACCCTCACTCTATTTGTTTGTCTTAACGAGAAAATGTCACCATAATCCAAATTGGGTGTCTAATGACATCTCTCCGGACCAAAGCCCATTGGTGGAGATGCAAAGCCTTTGTAGTTTTTTTTTTTTTTTGGGGGTATTGTGGAACATTTGGATACTAAAACAAGAAATTGATTTGTGTCTTGGTGAGTAACGTTAAACATTTAATCATAACAAGTAGGAGGAAAAAGATATAAAATATAGTTATGATCAAGTGAATTAAGCGATAAAGACAAAGAGAAAGATGCGCGGATGAAGTTAATCTTAAGGCACATACTATTCGTTTTTTGAAATTTGAAGTTGATGTTTCGCTCAGTATGAGGGTGCAAATGAGTCAAAATGAGTTGAATTTTAACCTAATCAATCCGAGCCTCAACTTAGTTTTATGAAACTTAAACTTGAACTCGAGTTCGATGAATTCAAAATATAAAAATCAAGCTCGATTTCGAACTCGAGTTTGAGTTTAAAAAAATAAAATTTTAAAAAATGAATAAAATAATATTTTTTTAATAAATAATAAAATATTAGATATATATATATAATTTTATTATTAAAACAAAAAGTAATATATATATATATATATATATATATATATATATATATATATATATATATATATATATATATAATCAAGTCGATTCGCGAGTTAACAAACTGAATATTTTTGAGTTCAAGGTCGAATTCGAGTTAAACTTGTCCGAGCTAGCTCAGTATAACAATGCTACAAGTAAAATTATACGGTACATTTGCCGCTTGGTTTTTGAATGGGGCAGATTGTCGTAGTAACAATTAACAACGCGGATTTTCAAACATCGATAAGAAAACAAAAAGCTTTTCAACTTTTTGGGTACACTCGAAACTCGAAGAAGGGTAATTCCCCAGGACTGAGTATGTTGGTCGTATAGTTTTTTGTAGGTGATCATATTGGACACATAAAAGCATCGAACTTAACATATTATTGTTTATTTGAAAACAACAATATATAATTCAGATCTTAAACCTTTAAAATTGGATCAAATAATTAAATAATTTTTTCTCTATAAAATAGTAATCCTTCACACGTAATTTGGGGAGAGAATCTCGGTTGGATGTTTGTCGCCATATTGCATGTTTAGCATCTTGTGTTTTCTTTTGCTTTGGTCGTTTTTGTTCAAATTAGTTTTAGTTTTTGTGGCAAATCCATCTACTGTAATTGAAACTAGTGGCTGACCCAACCATTATATTGATGTACTTAAAAAAAGATGAGGATTATTGGGAGTTAATTAAACTAAACAAAACCTCCAAAAAAACAAATTCAACTGTGTTTATCTCTAAATGCAACTGTCATAAACTTTATATTGAAGGCTATTTTTGGGATTTAAAAGGTGATATCTGAGTTGTTTTATTTACATAGTAAAATGAAAATCAGAATAATAGATCAAATAAGATCCGTTTGGTCTACAAAACCAAAGTTTGGTGATTGAATCATTTCAAAAAGAAAGAAATGTACCATTTGGTCTATAAACAGTTAGTTTGGTGATTAAATCATTTAAAAAATTTACTAATTATCCAGATAAAAAAAAAAGGGAAGCGCTTAAAACTAATTCAAATGCACTTAAGCATCTTTCTACTTGATTGATTATCTACGTTGGTTTTCTAGATTATCTATTAGATGCATGATAATTTATCTGAATTTAAATTTGAAATCCAAATTTTGTTCATGTGTCATGCATCCAACCGTGACAATATATACATTATCAGTTTATATAAGATTTACTCTTTCTAGATTGGTTTTCTAGATATAAAAGCATTGGAGATGGCGTGAAGATAAATTGGGCTTCAAATTTTGCGGACCAAAAGCAAATACAATGGCCCATTTTCAAAAATACATTGCTCTTTGTCAATTTTCGTTACAAAATTAATTCCCATCAAAAGACTAAAAACTTTGCATCTCTTTACCAGCAAAATTTGGAGTCTTAAATTAAAGACCCAAATGTTGGTAACATTTCACTTTCATTCATGAATAAGTTCTTCGAGTATTATATTACAAATTTCTTTGCATAAATTTGGTATTTCTTTCACATACCAGAAACAATTTTGGAACCCAAATTACAAAAATCTAATGATGTTAGACTGTAAATGTCCTGTTATTATTTGGTTTTGGACATGATGTATTTCTCCTTTTAGACCAAAAAAAAAAAAAAACAGTTATTCTGTCTCTGAGAAATTCAAGAAAAGCACATACCATCCCTATAGTTTTATTCCCATCAAAGAAAGGCAAATCCAATAAGTATAATTAAAATACTGCACCTTGCAAGGAAAAAGATATTAGGGTATAGAATGGCATTTTTTTTTAACCTAACATTTCCTTTATGAGTTTGATGCAAGAAGCATAAACAATGGTGAGACAGAGGGAGGAGAGCTTTCTTGGGATATTAACAATTAGTCAATTCCATTAAGACAAATAAAATGTACACTTGGTAGCTAAACCCAGTTTTTAAACTTTGGGATTTTCTATAACACATAATTACTGTCGGTGCATGTATTTAATTAAATGTGATTAAGTATCTAAATATGTGTATTGTGCAGCCTTGATGTAGCTTAATAAGCTGCCTCTAAAACCAGATGTGGCAATTTATTCTTTTGCTTATCTTTTTTTTTTATTTTTATTTTTTTAACTAACTACTTAGATTTTCAGTTGTCATGACTCAGCAGATATAATAAGTGAAACTGCGTAGTTTTGTATTGGACAGAAAAGTGGACACAAATATTGGACAAAGGATCCCGTCTGCAGGAGAACCTCCATACCAGAAGCAAAATATGCCAAAGTATGTCTACTTTAAATTCATTACACTAATTGGCCTAAAAAGTGATGTTAACTTCATTAAGAGACGGTGGAAGTTTTTGATCTCTTTGGCCTGCATTAAAGCAAACATATCATGAATATGACTACTTAATTGAGGAGGTTAATTATTGTAACTCCTGTTGTCACATTAAGTTATTTATATCCCATGATTATTCAGGTCAGGAAGATATACAACATAGAATCAGTAGCAAAAATTTCAGCAAGCAGTTCAAATATCTTTCAGCCATTCTTGAGAAACACAAGGATATCAATTGGCTAATGCAAAGTTTTGACTGAACAGCTGATCAAAAAAACAACCAAGAACATAAAAGTGCGAACAGGGTGTGAAAGCAAAAGACCCTGCTCTGTAAGCCTTAAGATTTCTTGGAGTCATATTTTTCCCCAACTATCTAAGGAGCTTATGTATAAATTGATTGCTATGGCAATAAAATTCACCTAACATCAAAGGAGAAACAATACTAGGAATGGCTCACCCTATTATACCTAACTTGAGGAGCAGATTGTAGGAAAAACTGAAAAACTATTAGTGACAATGCTCACCAGCCTTTGCCTATGAGCCATAACCAATCAAGAGTAACCCCTGCAAATATACCTCCTAGGAGAAACAATACTAGTATATTTCCCAAGGCATTCTGTTCTGGTCCCTGCAAAAATCAGATTGCCAAAAGTTCTATAAGAATACTGTGCGGATGCTAGGAAGATTAGTTAAAATAAATATGTTAAATCCAAACATACCTTGTATCCCTTTGGGGCAGAAGTAAGGACACACACTGTAAGGTAGCCATTACTTAACCCCAGAAAAGAGGTAAGCATTATCATCCAGCCCTGATCACCATACTTAGCTGTGAAATAGAAGGCAGGAATGAGCAAGAATCTAGAGAGAATTGCTGTTGTAAGTCCCCGACGCGATTCCAGCTTTATGCGTTTCCAAAGTGGTATACATCTACCTATGAGATCCCAGACATTATACATTGCAATCAAGACAAGGGCATACCTGGAATGACATATTTCACAAAGTCCTCAGTTTGGTCTAGATAACAACAGAAGTTCACAGACGAAAAATACAAGACAGTTGCAACAGCTCTGTTCCACGTTCATGAGTGAGAAAGCACCAAAAAAAAAAAAAACCAAGCAGCTGTGGTCAAGCAGACTTACCAGCTTCCCAAGCTGTGTGATCCAGTATCCTCGGATAAAAATCCAGGGAATATAGAGAGTGTTAGAACGTATATCAGAAACATATCTAATGCATAATCAATGTTCTGAACTAGTAGTTGTTTGTTGCTCAATCTTTCGGGCTGTTTAGGATCTTGACCAACCTGAAATGGTGATAAAGAAGATTGATAAAGTCACTACCGAGATCTTGAATTCACTAATACATTAAAAGAGCTATACTTGTTCAGGCTGCCTATGAATTCCGCCTGCAGCAAGGTCAGCAGAAACAGTTTTTGATCCCTCTGAGGCTGCCTTAGAACGATAGTACTTCACGATTGGTAGCTTGGGGAAGACAAATGCGTAAAGAAGGACACAGAGAAGCTCAAAGAATGTTGAAACAGCAAAGAATAGAACTGCAGTTATTTGTCAACTGTAGGCTTGATTATATGAACAAAATAACACAATCAGAAAAGACTAACCACAGAAAAGGGAAATCATAACTTACTGGCTCCCTTTCGCAGGCCATCCTTGGAATTTTCAAATGCCGCTTTGGTAATCAACCTCAAAGCGGATGTTAGTGCGCCTGATGCAGCTAACCCTGCCAGAAAAGACTAAAGCAATCAAATTAAAGAATGTCATACAAAGATTCCAGAAGAAAGAACTATTCAGATACAGCAGAACACGAGAAAAGAGAACTAACCTGAATGAACTCTGGTAGCATGAATGAGAGATCTCCAACCATTCCACCCTGAACATGAGCATCAGCGATTCCAAAAGCACCGCTGACAACACAAATTCCAATAAATGTTCCAATTCCACCCCTTCCAGATGTGGCTAAATCCAGCTATTGGAGCAATTGAACGTAAAAATCAAATTAATCTCAAATACTGTTGATATGCTGTATAATGGATAATGGGGGAACTGGAAATAACTGAAACCAGTAAATGTCTTCTACTAAAAGACACATTTTTTTTTCCAAGAGCTATGGTGAAATTATGTATATGATACAAGTAAGTGCACTTGCCTAAAAATTACATTCTTTCACGTATAATGTAAAGCTTAACATTAAATCCAACAGAATGAATAGAAAGAGAATAATACTTACAACGAGTACTAAAAGCGTGCTAACAAAGAAAAGACTGTATCCAAAAAGATTTCTCTTTCTTGTATTGATCTTTGCCTCATTGTATGCTAGCACTGCCAGGGTTCCTAGTGCAAATGGCTGATATACAAGAGTAAGAACCCTTGAGGGATGGTAACTCTGCAGAGAAGAAAACATTCACTTGGTCAACTACAAATGCTCATGCCTCCAATGAGTACAACCACAAACCGTGCCATCTGACAACTGGGGTTATGAGACCCATGTTTGATTTTCCTAATTGAAGTTGGAATCTGATTGCTGTCTTATTAATATGGATTATTCCAAGAATGGCATGAAAACATTAAAAGACTAGGAATAACTTGTTTCTCTGAAGACCTTTGAGTGAATAAGTTGGGGTTTGCTGCTTTAGGTATTGTCCATCATTCACAAGGTAATATTGTCTTGCATTTGTTTGTGCTAACAACTGATATTACAGTTTAGGTCTGCATAATGTTTAGTCCACATGGTATGCTACTTCTGCATTCTTAATAGAGATACCTTTCTTTATGAAATGTTTCTCTTAAAATGCTGGTTGAAAAACATTACGACATGAACTAGCTTTTGAGGAAAATCAAAAGATATCTGATTAATAACTGAAGAAAAGCAGAGTAGAACACAAAGCCAGTATCTTACTTTCAGTCGAGGATTGGAAAGAGTAAAGAAGTTTAGTTGGTGCTGTCACTATGTCAAACAATGAATGAAAATTAACCATACAACACCGAGAAATTAAAGCAAAACTCATGGATTATGATTGACAAACTTTTAAGCCGACAAGGCAGTAAAATTAGCAGTTTCATGAGGTGTTTATTGTTGTAACAGAACATGGCAAAATCCAAGACAAGGTAATTCCATTAAACATCCAAAGATACATATGATTGGATCAATTTCAGGGATTCAATTAGTGAAAAGCCTTCCTTAAAGAACAAAAACTTTTGCACTATAATGAAGTAGGCAAAATGTCAATGTTTTTTTCCAGGAATGATCTGGCTATAGGGTACTCCGATTGAGGAAGAAGCTAATATGGCGATCAGGAGAATGCCCTTTATACATGTAATTCTAAAAGATAGAAACATCTACAAAAATAAGTATCAATTAAGGAAAAGCTTCAAGTCGGGTTAGAAATTAACATTGACAACCAACAGATTCTTCAATGACATATGCGATTACCGGAAATAAGTAGACATAATAATCCTCTATTGTCAGCATACTATTCCAAGAAAACAAGCAGCCATTTCCAAGAAGCCAACAGACTGCCATTGCAGCAAATTTTCCCTGCCAAAGGGAGAAAAAGAAATTAACATGTGAAATAAAATATTAATAGGACATTGAAAATCGAGTATTACCAACAGACCTCAAGCCTAACTGGACCACCTCCACTTCCATTATCTGTATCCATTTCTGCTGAGCACCCTCAGAAAGCTCCTTGAAAGTTATGTGCTACGTAAACCTAAAGAAGCAATTCATAACAAAAAAACGACATGAATTCTGCAAAACCCCTAAAAGCAGTTCATGCTGTGATGACAGTGACATTAGAATGTTCTGATACAGACAAAAAGATGGAAAAACAATTGAACTCTTCAGTTATTTTGGAGCAAATGGTGAAGAAAAAAGCTACCCTTATTCTGTTTTTATTCAATCCAGCATGGAATTAGGATAAGAAAAGCAACAAACCAAAATAAAACTTTGACGCAAGAATTTCATGCTATCTCATCGTTCAACAAGAAGAGTTATCATATACACTCAAAACCCAAAATTGAGAGAGTAAAAGAAACTAAAAGATCAGTCCGACGGTACCCTTTGGCGCAGAAGGGGAAATAAGGGAGAGGAGAAATTGAGGGGAAATTGAGCAAACCTTGTGTGATATGAATGAATGGAGAGACGTGTTGGACTATTGCAGGACTCGCAGGACCATTTATATACATGAGCCGCGAGATTCTTGTGTGGAATCGTTGATACTATGGAAAGAAACCACAGAAGTCATACTTGGAGGAATCTTGGGCTAGAACTAGAAGTGGTGCATGTCTAAGGATTCCTTAGTTTCCAGTTTTTGGGAGGATACTGATGGCCATGGTGTGAAGACGTATTATGTTATTCATGTTAGGGTCATAAATTGGAAACATCTAAATTATGGATTTGAGAATAAGTTGAGTTATGTTCAATTCAAATCGATTGAGTCTCATAATTCTTATCACATTTGGCGTAAATTCATATAGTTTGGTATAATTGTGAAATTTACACCAACTTAATTGTACGAATTGACAAATTTAAATTTATACTCAAATTATATGAGTTTATACGAAAAATTATAAAAGTTACATCAACCAATTTAAACTAGACAGAACTCAACTTAGGAGACCCAATCTTGAATTATCAGATAATTGAAAGAGAAAGGCTAGGTATATACTCGTTCATCCAATCTACATTGTGTACAAGTTATCACTGAATTCTTTTATTTTTTTCTTTTATCATATGACAGGTCGTCAATGAGCGGGTGTCGATCTGGCCATTGCTAATTAAAAATGCCCATGTTATCACATCACTCGGCACAAAAAACTCTAGTTAGGTGGAAGTATCAAATTTTGTGAGTCCAATGCTCCTTATGTACCGACTACAATACATAGTTACAATTGTCATGAATTGACGTAAAATATGGTATAAAATAAGCTCATTTAAGCACATAATTAGTACGATTCGATAAGGAGAGATTAGCTTGGTTTTGTTACTTCTCCTTTTTTAGTACAGTATGTCTAATTAATGGGTGCACAATGAACGCTCGTTAAAATTTACTTTAGATATTAGATTTTGGAAAAGGTAAGATTAATTAAAAATCTATATCTATATAAATTTGAGAAAGGATTTCTAGCAATAAGCCTCCACTCTCAATTCCATTTTTCTAGCATTTCATGTTTAATTTATTTCATAAAATATATCATGTTCACGTTTGAAACACACAATCATGTTTCCATCAAACAAGAATTCTACTCCAACTAACACTTCTCTCTTCACATACCTTACCACTCCAATTAATACTCCTCCAATTAGCAATTACACTTCGATTAAAACTCCTCCAACCTAGTAATAAGAGATAACAAAAAATAATTTCACCAAAAACCGCAATTTACCATTTCTTTCAACTTTTTTCTGATATCGATCTTAACCCTCAACTTAATTTACAATCACATCTATTCTCTTAATTAATTAATTAACTAGTTTTGTACTCGTTCGTTGAACGGGAATCATCGAAAAATAATAAACTATTTAGTTAATTTTATAAAAATGTCGGTATAAAATACAAATTTAATATATAATCTATTATAACTTGTCTTAAGTATATTACTATGTGCGTATTGTAATATAAAGTATTCTTATAATATAAATTTGAACATCTAATTCAGTGAATAATAATTCAAAAATAGAAAAAATGGCATTCAACAATACCATAACATTCAAAAACTTGAAAATAAATAAAAAGTGCAGTAAATAATATCAAATAATATTCTATTCTTCAGAAACTTTTTTTTGTTTTTCTTCTATTTGAACATTCTCCTCGATCTGTCCATGCAAATCAGCATTTATTGATTTTCCATTATCGCTGCATGATAGCAAAGCAGGATAACTAAGTACTGGAAAAAAATGACTTATCGCATTCAAGATTGTGTATAACAATACGTAAAGATTATAATTTAAAAAAGTAAAATAGTATATTAAATCTACCTTCTCATGCAAATCTTTTTATGAGGATTCTCTTTCTCTGTGATTTTTGTTGAACCCTCTGATGAATGATTCATATGAAGTGTATTGAAATGTTGTTGATTAGAATCATCTGTTATACTAATTGGGATTTGGGAAGAAGATGCTTCAGGTTGGTATTGGTTGTCGGTTCCACCAATCTGATAATGATTTATCAAAATTGAAGGCAAAAATATTATGTGAGATATAATATGTGAAATATAAGAGAAATTTATTGCACATTACCTGTGAAAGCATGAAATGCGTTTCCCTCCCGAAATCACAGTGGAACCATCTAGTCACTATAAATTTATTACTACCTTATTCCAAATTGTAATTGTTCAACTTGATTTGGAACACAAAAGATTTCCACGTGATCTTATTTATAATTGATGACACGATTTCATTGCTAAATCCTTCCTGAAAATGGAATGCATAATAGATTTTTTTTTGTTAGAATATTCAACGGCTAAGATAAGTGTCGGATTGTCTACTATTATTAAAAATATTTTTAAACATTAGATATAAGTTTACCTTGTTAAATTCTTCAAGAACAAAAGAAAGTTTGTGTTCTATTATTCTTTCAGCTTCTTGATCAACTATAATAAACCAAGCACTACCGGTTGCATCATTTGCCAAAACTTTTAACATATATATGTATAAATACACATATTCTAAAAGTTATGTTTATGTAGATATTGTAACAATTAAAATGATAAAAAGGTTAACACATATGACATACCTCAATTTAGGATACTCCACATTTTGATTGCAAGCATTGCACACAAAATTAGATCCTTCAAATGTCACTTTTCTCTGACATTTGGGACATGCTTTGTAGTACAGTTAACTATTGAAATCAACCTTCGGAATTGTCACTTTGGAAGGGTAAACCAATCCCTAGAGAAATGAAAAGATCTAAGCAGTCAATTTAAATAATAAATATTTTTAATTGTGAAAACTAATGTGCTATAATTGTAACTTGTAACTTTAATTGTACTTCTGTTTGAACACCGGCCATTATTTGATATATTTCTGATAATAATTTTCAATTCTTGAACATTAGTTGCTGTATAGCTTCTCACGTTTTTGAAGGATGTAAAACCTTAATAATTTGAGGAGCAGTGCTATCAATGCTAATAACAATCTTATCTTAATTACTTATAAACAATATATATGAAAATATTAAACAAATATTTAATAAAGATATCAGTGCTTTCCATGCCTTGTTGCCATTATTCTCGTAGGTCCACTCTGGTAATGGTATATTGTATGAATCCAATATTTCATTCAATAGTGTCTTGAATGAAATTTTAAAAACCCGTGATTGATTCATGATTCCTACATAAATACCATTAAATAAATTAAGTGTAAATATAAATGTGCAATGATACAATAATGTTAATTTGAGCTAAAATAAAATATTGTACATTTAATTAGCCACACTTTTTATGATATTTGATGTATTAAAGTGGGTAATAATTTTATAGTAAATTGTATTTGTAGAGTTAGTTGACTATATATTATGCCCATGAAAATCTTGTTGCGTTGACCCTTGAACACCAACATACATAAATTTCGCAAAAGGAACCAAAATAAATTTTCAAAACTATGGAGGATAAATATGATTGACTCGTTGTAGGGAAATGCAAATAGACTATATACGTAGTCAATCCTTGTTTTGTAAGACTATTGAAAACTGTATATAGCACATCATTACTTTAGTTCGGTATAATAAAGTCGTAATAAATTATCATGCATTAATGAGTCAAAAGAAAGACTCCAAGGCTATCCACAGAATGGGTGCACCCATTTCAATGTACTGACGCATGCATGACTGCATGTGTGATTCCCTTAAAACTTATTTCTGATTCGATGCCTGTGACCAATTAAAGAAATTCGATGGAAATTTCATTTGACAAATTTTCAATGGAACTTGATTGTTTTGTTATGTTCTGCTTACAAAGAGCAGGTGGCATAATTTTATCACTCAATTATTTAGAGTTATCTACTTGGGACAGTAAAAAATTTATTTTACCCAAAGTGGTCATTGAACCAATTAAAATATATAACATTTAATCAATTACATTTTGGGATTGAAAACGTGCATGTTAAATCAATTCCTATGTCTTCATACAAAACAAACAAAAAATTTCAGATATGTTACTAACCTCTTACAATTGAAGATCAATATGCCTTTTTAAAAAAAATATGTATTGAAAGAAGATGTACCTGATAATTAAGAGGAGTGAAAATCCAAAATCGATGCTTTAATATGCCAACCGCTTACACTAGAAATACCTAACCATGAATTTGATGCGCACACATTCATGCACACACATATATACATATATTTGATATTTGATTGCATTTTAATATATGGTAGAAACTTAATTTTTGTAAACATATAATTACATCAACAAAAATAAGAATCTAAATTTAGAAGTTATATTCATTGTACATGTCCTAATTTGTATAAGTAAAATAATTTAGCATATAATAAAAAAATTAATAAATAATTAAAATAATTTAGCATATAATAATAAATTATTTGATGGAAAAAGTAAGCATGACGTACTTTTGATTATTAAGACAGGATAAAAAAACTGTCTTGCATATGAATGAATTTAGATGTCCAATTCTAGAAGAGCCTGCCTGTACAAACTGGAAGGAATGCAGACGCAGTGGAAAGAAGATGTACCTGAATTCACCATACATTCAATTTTCTGACTGTAGAAGGAAAAGAAAAGAAAAGATCGGGGATCTCCTAGATTCTGTTCTGTCCGATTCAAATAGGTTCGTATCGTATAATTTTTACAACTTTTGATATAAATTCGTGTAGTTAGATATAAATTTGAATTTATCAATTCTTACGAGTCCCCGGGGGTTAATGCGACCGGTCCAGTAGCCTCCTCTTCAGAAGTAAGGTCCCGTGTTCGACTCTCTCCCGTAGAGCGCTGGAATCCTTGGGGCGAGCTCTTCCAGCCTGGGGGTATTAGTCTGGTCAATTGACCAGGATACCCCCCAATCGAAAAAAAAAAAAAATTCTTACGCTTAATTTGATGGTTTATACCAAAATTATCTAGATTTATGCCAAATCCCAAGTGCAATAAAAATTACGTAAATCGATTTGACTTAGATAGAATTAAACTTCTTCGAATTCTAGTTTGTTTAGTAAATATCTCATTTCCTTGGGTGAAATCTACACGCCAAGATAACCCAAAGCTAATACAGCATACGCATATGTATAGCTGGCAAGATTGCCGACCGTGTGTAACAATACACGATCCCATATAATTGGAAGCAAGACTCGTAGCTTCCAAAGATTGCAATTTCAATCATACACT